AGTGAACAAGAAACATAATAAGCAATTTTACGAGGCACTGTAAGATAAACACATGTTACAACTGTATTTGCATAGTTCATATAACGAATTTATGAGGAAACTTACACCTAACAGTGAAAGCCATCTGTTACACAAAGGACTGTACCAATTCCCTAACTTATTGTGGATATGAACTTTCCTTTCCGAAGTTTCCACAACGCTACCATTCTCGTCAACACTTGGCGAAGAATCTATGTAAACATTATTCTCGGAAAGGCTGGGATTTCTCTGCAAATAATTAACAAGTATTTTTTTCATTGTTATACAGTAATCAATTAAATATTTGTATATGCTTACCATAAGATTTTTATGTCTTATCCTTTCAGGAAACAAATTATCTAAATCATTATCCATATCCGTTATCGAATTATTTCTACTCGCACAGCCATAATTACGATCAAACGTTGGGGATTGTGTTCGGAACCTTTGTTCTCGAATTAATTGTATATCGAATGTTTGCGCAAGAGCAAAATACGCGTAGTCCAAGCATGCGTATGTCAAAAGAAAAGGCATCGTAACAATTGGCGCGAGTGTGTTAATCTGACCGGTAATAATGAATGTTAATGTAACAATAGCAACCACTAACATTGCGTATATGGGTACCTTGTTCGGACCTCTCTGAAATAATCGTAAAATTTCAATAACTCAAGATCTCAACTAGTAGATAATTTACTAAAAAATTACGGAAATGAGCTCACCCCTCTTTGTAAACAACTCATTCCCGGTATAACATTTTGACTAGCGATAGACTGAAGAACACGAGGTGTGCCGTACATAGCACCTAAACAACTACTAAATGATGATACGTAAAGACCGGCCAACAGCAATACTGAGATTGCTGATACCTTTGATGCAATCATAAAATTCGTGAGAAGTGTATTGCGAGTACAAGTTGCCGCGAGGAACATTATAAAGCATAGATACAAAAACGTTCTGCAAGTGGATTGAAAATTTCAAATTAATTTTATAGCACATATATTAAAAATAATTTTAAATTGACTCTCACCCAGTTCCTACAGCAGCCAGTGTGCCATTAGGAATATCAGTAGACGGATGCCTTAAATCTCCACTCATATTAATCCCGGCTAGGACACCGGTTACCGTCGGAAAGAATACACCAAAAACTGTAAACCAACTATATCCATCTTGATAGTCGGGAAACGTATTATTCCTTAAATTCCCTGACAACCAACCTTCAAAACCAGCTTCTACGATATTTACAGAATCACGCGTTATAATTTAAAACTATACGTACTCTAAGATAATGGAAATTGTATTATAACCTCTATAATGTTATCTTACCAACGTTCACGTGTGTAAAACTTCCAACCATAAAATCTACCCCAGCAAGAAGTAAAATTAGTAACAAAATAAATTGGAGTTTTATGACCCATTTGACACCAGCAACATTGATAATAGATAACAAGATAACAGCCGCGCATGCAAAACCGCGTTCTGTCCAAGCAGATTCTAACCCTACCAAACCTGCCATAGATTCTCCGAAACCTAGAACATTTAGCGCACAGCCCACCGCCTAAAAGAAAGTTTTAAAGTAATCCATCAGTAAAAATCACAGTAAAAATTATCTTACCTGTCCAAAACAATACAGCAGTCCAATAGATCCACCAGACCTTGACCCTAAGACGTGCGATAATAAAAAATAAACTCCACCGCTTTCTACTCTACATCGTTCGCATATTCCAACAGCAGACAATACTGTTACTAATGCGATAAATACTAAAACAATTATAAAACGTGTACACATTATGATCCTTTTGACCTTAATTATTAATGACACATAACATTATTATTATTACCTGTGGACAAGATTATTAGTATTGCATTAAGAACACCAGCCTGTCCTACTATCCACCCTGATCTTAAAAATACGATAACTCCAAAGATGTTAATAAGACAAGATGTAAATACACCATCCCATGTTCCAAACAGTACAGGTTGGGAGATAAAAAAATTTGATTTCCACCAAGGATCAGAGCTCTAAAAATTGTGCATTTTAACAGAGGACCACAAACATTATTTTAACTCTGGTTAATTGTTTACTTACGTATTCTTGAGCAAACAATTCGTTTGCTCCAGTCTGATACATTTCAGGACCAAGTTCTTCATACTCTCCATTATTTCTGCGTGTTTCATTATTTCTTTGTATTTCTGTATTATGTAAACCATATCTGGACCAATCAATGTCCCTATTACTCGTAGCATCCCCATTTGGTAATTGTTTTCTTTCATTTGACTCCATGCTTTTTGTATATAAATACAATACTTGGTACAATTAATTATTTTTTATTAACAATAATCTCAGTCTTCTTTCTTCAATTCCGACTTTATAAAAGTAGCAAATAACAACTTAACAGACAATGAAAAAAGTTTCTTCTAAATATTTTCATATCTAGATCAATGTTGAAATAACACTTTTAAACAAGTTTTATAGCTGTCAACGCAAATATGATAAAATTAGTGATTTATTTTGCTATAATAATAAGAGAAAAAATATTTGATATACTTAATGTTTGTTGACAATCTTCATTAGAGGTTAGAATACGATTTTTGCACTTAAATGAAGCAATAATTATTGTAGGCCTTCACAGTAATATCGTAATTTAGAAAATCCATTTTTGTTCGATTTATCCACCTCTTAAATCACGTCTATCACTTGAAATATATCACCAACTGGTGACGTCTTGTTCTATAGTAGAACGACCATTTTTTATTTTTTTAACGGTATTAGCTATATACAGGGTGAGCCAGCTAAACTGTTACTGTGAGCGATAATGCCTAAACTATCGTAGATACAAAAAATCTTACAGGAAAATAGAAGTATTTCTTGAGGTTCTTTATTTATTAAATAAAATTTAAATATCTAAACGTTGTTTGGATTTAAAATATACATTTATTCATATCAATTATAGATTATAAACAAATCATATCCACATAAATGTGTTAATCTAGAAACTCATTCATTCGTGACAATCATTCGTTTCAAGAAGGTAGAAAATCCAGATAATTTCGGGATTTATTGAGGTCATTGTTCCTTCATAATGTAATGTCTACGCACAATCCGAAAATACAGCTACACACTCTTAGTCCACGTGCCCAGATGAAACATTCTCACAACGCAAAACATACCTTTTTTCAGTTTTTTAAAAAACTGAATTCGGTGTAATATAACAATAATTGATAGTTCTATCTCACGAAATATTAATTTGTGTATTTACAATAGCATTCATGCTCCCCTCCTCCACTTTTCGCCGTTGCTAAATTTCGTCATTTCTCGACCGCTTACGCCACACGTGCCAATCCCAACGCGACCATTTACATTTTCTGGCGTTGCAAATATACTCTTCTTAATTACACCTTTCTTCGAAGACTACACATACAGAATAAAAAATATAAGATCAATAAACAATTAACATATATCTATAATGTTAAAATTATTCGTCAGTGGATACCTTATTCGTAAATGCTAGCCATTTGTTTTTCTCCATTTCACGTTCCTCTTCGAGTTCTTTAAACCGCTGAAGTTTTCTTTGTTTCTTTTTTTTTAGATATTCTCGCTGTTTATTAGGATCTGAACCTGCTACTGCAGCAGCTTGCATTTTTCTGTAAATTAATGTGTCTATCATTCATAATAGTATCTACTGTGTACACATCTCTTGTAAAATAACATAATGTTGGGAGAACATTACTTTTTTATTAAAAATAAGAAATGTTAGTGATTCTATCCTATTACCTTTTCCTGGGTTGCAATGATGTATGAGAACAGTTCGACATCAAGATACAAATGAACAATAATGGAATTTCAGATCAAGGAGCATAGAACAGTGGAGTGATTGTGGTGGCCAATTGGGAATAAAGGCATAAGGAGAAAAATGAACAATTAGTAATCATTTTCTTTTTTATAAAATTTGCCCTGCAATGTTCCTCAAAATCTGATTGCTCAAAAATTTGCAAAAGACATCAATAATAAACTACTAACAAATAAAGCTAATACATTATTCTACAAACAACTTACTTCGACTTTTGATCTGCCCAATCCGATGCTGGCCTTTTAGCTACTGATTTTAGCTGGCTAAGCATTGTAACATCTGTGTTTTTGTACTCGTTAAAAGTTACATTAACAATACCATCTTCACTAATTGCATCTATGGTTGCCTCGTAATATCTGAAAAAATTAGGTAACTATGACATACATTACTAACCCAGATTCTATAGAATACAGTTGTTTCTTATGAAATAAATTAAAGTATATATAAGTGACAATCCTTACTTGCCATCCTCACTCCAAGGTGCCATACACTGATCACCAACCTTCCATTTATTGGCCAAAACTGCAAGTAAAATAGGATCTTTAGCATCCATGCCATTGGCTTGCCTTTTTTCCTGTTGTTGTGATTTAATTAAATCATGTGTCAGCTCTATTACTTCCTCGAGATCAATTTTCAATTTCAGAAGCTCCTCGTTAGTGGGGTCCGTGGTGAGAGCTGCTTCCACCTAAAACGATAAAACATGAAATTCGTTTACGATTGAAACTTCGTAAACAACGAAGGAAACTCCGAAAATGGACTCGCCATTCCACCATTTGGGTAAGGTTAAGCAAAAAACGATACACTCACCTGCTGGAGCTGCAATTTGTAATTCTGTAAATCGTCCATGATGAGCGTTAAATCAACAGCGAGTTAACAAACGCGAAAATAATGTTTAGTAGCCGTTCTTTTCTTTCCTAACGACTACTGTCAGAAAAGCAAGTAAAAGTGAACACTAGTGAACACCCTCCCCTCCACATACACGACTGATAAGCGTACAACAGTTTGTAAGATGGCGCTTAGGTTTTTAATGAAATGGTTAATTTTTTGACGCTAGATAACGCCACTAGAAACAACAAACATCGAAAACTGTAATTTTTTCTGAGAAAAAAATGCAGAATTGCTTAATTTCACTGCAAATTTAATTAAATAGTATTATCACGAAATTTTTACATTTTTAATTACTTTAAATGCATTCATTTTTTATAATTTTATTTTTATTTATAATTCGAAGAGGAACCGAGTCGACGGAGTCGACCCTGCGTTACCTGCGTAACACAAGCGTATATGTTCAATAGTTCACAATAATTGCGTTGCAGTTGGTTGCAGTCGTATGGCGTTGTTCGTATTGGTTCGTATTGTGTTTGTGACGAAACAAATTGACGGCGCGGTGCAATTAATGCCATTCAACAATTGAAGAAAAGCTTCGATCATGTCATACCCGGTAATTATATTTCTGTGTTTCATATTGAACGTGTACTTACTCGTCACGAATAATTATAATTTACATTTTTCCTTTACAATACAGTCTTAATTAAAATTAAGTCAGTATTTCTGAAACTGTGAGCGACGAATGCACAAAATTGTTTTCTGTCATCAGGCAACAATGTTCGGGGAAGCTGATCCTCAAGCTCAAGTAAATCCAGAAGTGCAACAGTGGTTTGCTGCAGTTGATAGAGATGGTAGTGGAAAAATTAGTGCTACAGAATTAAAAGCTGCATTAGCAAATGGTCAAGGAGGCACATTTTCAGATACTGCTTGCAATTTAATGATCGGTGTGTTATTTATATTGAAAATATGGGTTTCTTATTTTCTACTAAATAATAACTACAATACTTAAGAATATATAATTCTATTTAATGTTGCTTTTTCATAGGCATGTTTGATAAAGAAAAGCGTGGTACAATAGATTTGTTTGAGTTTCAAGCTCTTTATAATTACATTAATGCATGGTTGGGTGTCTTTCGTGGATTTGATCATGATAACTCTGGAAGTATACAAGAAAATGAATTGGGTGCAGCTTTAACACAAATGGGATATAGATTAAACCCAGACTTTATATCATTCCTCATTAAAAAAAGTGATCCTGTAGGTCATTCTTCTATAACTGTTGATCAGTTTATTGTATTATGTGTTCAAATTCAAAGGTTTACAGGTAAGTAGATATACAGGAAAATAATAAACGCCTAAAAATGTACAGAATATGTAAAAATAAAGTGGTGGTACATACAATGTTTTTAATTTCTTGTTACAGATGCCTTTCGAGTACGGGACACAGAACAAGCAGGAAAAATTACTATTGGATTTGAAGATTTTTTGGGTGTTGCACTTAACTGTAGCGTATAATACTTGCTTTTCTGAACTGTTATTGATTTTATTAAATTTAACTTCGCTTGTGTGAGGTCCATTTCTTCAGGATTAAAAATCAACTGCAATTTTAATCCATTTAATAAAAGGCAGTTATCTATTTTTCTGGGAGTAGATATAAATAAGTATAAGCTTCTATTTTTAACAAACATAGTAGTAGCAGAATGGCTATTTTATTTAGGAATTAAATTAAACATTCATTTTAGATGCAGTTTAAATTGCACAAAATTGGAAACGAAAATTTTCTAATTTATTTATTTGTTCAATGTAGATTTATTGTATTTTAAAAATAGAAATTCTTTTAAATCAGTAGTACTCTAATATTATGTAAAGTATTTTAGAAATTTGTTACAGCTTTGTTGTAAAATATTGTAATTTCAATAACAAAAAATATTAACGAAACGAGTACGTTGTTTGTGTAGATGACTATGAACTATACTAATTTAGTATGTAAAAGGTAAATTCAAAATCATCCATATAAAAATCATATAATATTCTGCCAGCGATCGACTCGCCGTCTAGAGACCAATACTCTGAAGCTCAATTGCGTGAGTATGAGAGAGAACATACTAATGTGCGACAAGGATAGATCTACTGTTTTTAGTAATGGTACTTGAAGAGTGTTACGTGGCTTTATATACGTTTAAACAAAAAATGTTTATGTTTTCAAATACAAATAATGAGATATGCAAAAGCTTGAGATAATTCATTACATGAAGAAAGTTTAACTTAGCGAACACCTTATTTAAAAGGTATGAAAAACTGTATTTGAAATATTTTGAAAATTTTGGTTCAAACGTTAAATTTATCAAACACATGTGTACTTTTTAAAATAGGCAGGCATTTGGTTTACATATTTATAGAAGTGTATCAATTATACGACAAAATGAAAACCTAAACTACGAATTTAGAAAATAAATCAATATTTATACTTCATCATTATAATTATGTAAGAAAGTGATTAGAACATCTAGTGAAATACCTCAAATGACAGTGATACGAAATGTTTTCGAAATATACATCACATGACAATTCCTTATTTATATTTTAATATTATGCATGTAATTTATAAATATAGCACAATAACTATTTATTTTGAACAGATGGTTTGCAGAATTGATAAATGATGAAAGAAATGTTTGGAAGTGTGACTTGACATTGTCTCATGCAAGGGAAGCACAAGAGAGAATACAGGAATTCAACAGATTAAAAAGAGCAAGGCATCTACTTGATGCTATTTTCCTCACAAATGAATTAATTTCAGATGGTTCTGATGTGGAAATATTGAGTCTTGCTGGCACAATAATAAAGAGATTGAAAGGGTTAGGAGTGTTTAATACACTAATAGGTATGAAAAGTATTTTAATTCTATATTTATTTTCTTTTGTATCTTTTTTAATAACAAGCAATTTTTCTAGAAAATTCAACCAACCATGTAAAAGTGTCAATGTTAAAACCCTCTCATTCTGGTATATATCACTGTTGTACATTCTGTTCAAGTGGTGGTAAAAAAGAAACTGTTTGTGGTTGTGGGGGGTCTATGCCTGGTAATACATTATTTTTTGAATAATACAAGAAACCTTGTTGTTCTGTATAGCAAACAAAACTATTTATTTACAGGTGGATATCAAGGTTGTGGACATGGTTATATTGGGCATCCAGGTGTTAGTCATTGGTCGTGTTGTGGATCCATTTTGAGACATGGACATTGCTTAGCTCTTCCAAGGCACAAATTCCAACTGTTACTTTGACGCTGTTGGTTTCAAATAAATTTTATTTTTTGCATACAAATGGTGAAATATCATTATACATATATTTTATACAAATATTTGTTTCCAAACCATTAATTAAATAATGGAATAGTTTTCTGTTTTTTACCCCATTTCTTGTATATAACACAGAAATGCTTAAATTGCACCTCAAATGACAGTCTCAATATATTGTGATCTTAGTCTAGCAAATTTTAATTTGTACCATCACATGACAATTCATACTTCTATCTAGCTTGCTTTTTATGCTAACTAGTACCATACTATCAACTATAGTACATTACCATTTGTTTAACATACCGATAATCCCTTGAAATGAAAGTATCTTTCATTTCTTCAAAGGTACCACTCATAAACGATTTTCGGTTGTACTGTGTCAGAAGTAGATTTAAAAGCGTTTTTGCCCTTTGCAATATCGATGTCAAGTACAGAGCAACCCTTTTCCCAGCTCCAGCAGCATTTTCGCTTGCATGACCTCTATGTTGTGTACTCCATATACATTCTTTGCATGTCACCTAAAGAGCCGAAAATTAAAATAGTAATAGGTGAATAGAAAATTTGCCCTACTTTCCACTATTATCTTAATTTTTGAGAAAATTTTTATCGTAAACCTGTCGGCATGCAATGCAATAAAACCGCAATGCGTGTGTAGGATGTTTTTGGCAGAGCGCGGTACGTCGTACTTTGGTAGCTTCCCAAATCGGCCTCATTAAGTGTTTCGATGGTCTCAATTCCATGACGACTTGTTGTTGATGTTCTATTCCACAAGCCGAACAGAAATTACGAAGGCACGTGGAACACTGAACATGTGCCTGAAAAGTAAAAACTTGCGTATTAAATATATTAGGAACTATCGAGTTTAATATTTCGAGTACACAAACTTATAATGCTTACGATAACTTCGTCCGTACAAGTGTCGCAAAGGACTCTATTCGCGAGTTTGCAGCGTATAGCATCCATAACCAAACGATGCTGAAGAGGATAATGTGGGGGTGGAATTGGTGAATTAACATTCGGTAATCGAAAGTCGCACAAGGAACACAATTCGTAGAAATTACTTGTTCGATCTTCCGACAGTACACCGTGTGTTCTAGTACCTTTCATGGAAGTATAAAGAGCTACGTTACGACAAGAGAAATGTATTCATACATACTTCCCTGTTAAAATGTTTAATTTCAGAGTACTTACGTTTACTCATTAATTCTGAAACACACGGTGAACATATAGGATGCAAGCAAGGAAGAAGTCTTGGCTCTTGCATCCTTTTACTACATCTAGGACACTGAAAGTCTATATCTTCACCCGTCTTAGGAGAGAAAAGGATTTCTTCCTGTTCGTATTCGTTGCTTATTCGATCTTTTATATCATAAGACGCTTTCGAGACATGGTACATGGAATTTTCCCCATTTGTATGCCAAGACAATGGCATATTCAATTTTGAATAATCGTCATAACTAAGTAAAAAGAAGAAACGTAATTATAGGACATATCATCATTGAATGAATCAATCCGCTTGTTCGGAACCGCGGATAGATCGGATTGTATTATATATTCTTACCGTTCGCTTTTATCGAAACACGGTAACTCCGTATTAACAACTTTCTGCGTATCTCCAATTTTATTTGTTCGTTTAGGGAATGTACGTTCTTTAATAGGAAATTCGTTGTTCTCGTTTTCGCTATCCATCGAGGTCCTTTCACCGCAACAATTTCTTATAGATTGATATTTGAAGCATTTTACGAAATCCATGAAACACTCTTTAAGTTGTCTCACTGATCAAAAAATTGCAATGATATGAAAGCAGACCGTTTCAAAATTTAACCATGTTAATTAGGTAAATCTTCTACAAAAGTATATTACCAGTTACGAGTAACTTAATATATTAGAAGATAGAAACGAATTAAAATTGGTGTAACAGTGAACTCACCAAGATATAAAGAAATATGTACTCTCTTGTAACATGTAGGGAAAGTCTCGTCGACGAACGTTACGAATACCGTTTGCACTACTTCGCGTTTGCCATAGCGTAATGAGTTAAAAATAACGTTAAAGCGAGCGCATGCGAAGCGAAATAATCGTGACTGTTTTGTACCAAATTCCGAATTGTACTTGTCACATGTTCCATTTTAGATAGCGAAACGGAAAGCAGAAGAACTGAAAATTGGTATAATTAAAAGTATTCATAATTATTACTATTTACTACTGAATGTCGTTTTCGCACGAAGACGAAAAGTTTAGGTACAATTAACTTGAACACAATCTATATGGATAACAAATTTTATTATTTATCCATACACGTGTAAAAATAAGATTGAATATACATATTAAAGAGCAAGTATTACATACAAAGGATATATGGATATAAGGATATAATGATTACTATATATAAATACTAATTCCAGCGCTCTTCAAGGCCGTGACCAAATCAAGTTCGATCATTATGTTATGTTACCGACTGTATTTACAAACAGCAGTGCATCTACATAGGTTAGATAATAAAACCCTCGAATTCGAATACATAATACAGACAAATGATATATTATTCTCGAATAAATTAATTAAAATACAATGAAGTTGAACGTGTGCTCATATCTCTCTCTCTAATCGGTACTTAAGTACTTCTATTTCATTTGAATTCTTTTATACAAGATGGCAATTTCTTCTGTTTGAGGAATCGCGTTGTTCTTGTTAGGTACGTACTTAAAATTACAGCCCTGTAAGTGACTAGTACTTTTATGCTTTGGCCAAACGTTCAAAAATGTGCGTCGCTTAACGAGATCTTATGTTCCATAAATCCCTGAAACGTATGATCTAATTACAACATACTTAATGCACGATCCATTTAGGCGCTAATGGGTTTATCTGTTACCTCATGTCTTCACTCTAGAACCCACTTTAATAAAGCCGTTTCGAGATTTACCGTTTCTTACTTGACCGTTGTTTTTCACCTTGCGATGCTCGAACAGGACATCATCGGAATCTGTATCAGATGCGGATAGCACCATTTTATGCGTTGAAACTGCAAAAACAATTGCATCACTTTTAGTCGTTGAACATAACCTCAAATTAAGGCACAACTAAAAGCACCGTACACGTGCTACTGTCATCTTCTGGTTCCGGTTGCAATAGAGAGTAACGCAGTGGTTTTTTCTTAGTGCGAAGCGAACGTCGTTTTCCTGTACATATTCTTTGGCATAGACAAACGAGACCCCAAATGAGGCCAACCCAGCACACAACCAGGGATAATAATGCTATTATCACATAAAGAATGCTCCAATCTGAAAATAATCGTTCTTTTCTATTCTTCTAATTTCGAGTAAAAGCATACTATTAAAAATACTTATTTCTACGTACCGCAATTGGAATCGCCGTTGCCGAAATATTTCTGTATTAAATTTTGCATCCAAAATGCCTCACACATACATAACCTTGTTTCTTGATCGCATACTCCATGGCCTTTGTGAAAGTAAATTTTAAATAAAAAAACATGCATGCAAATTATACGATAAAGACTACTTACCTGAACAATTATTTTGACACACAGCAGTGTCGATATTCGCCACAGATAATTGAAGAAGCCCAGAGTCTTGTCTGAGTTTTTCTTTAAGCCGTTTAACTACTTCTGGTCCAGGCATAGTCGTTTTACCCCCTTTTTTTTCTACATAGAAAATTAATACTGCTTTGCCCGTGCGTGGTTCTACTTTTAAATTTCGAACAACAATCGACGCTTCGTCGCGCAATAACATTTGTAATTTTACTACTAACGAATTCTTTTGCGATACTGTCAACATGTTCGCTCCGATATTTAATATCAATTCGACCAAATGTAATAATTGTGGATCTATAAAGTAAAACAGACGAGTTCTATTACAGAAGGTTTTCTTTTTTTATTTTAAATTACTCACCAGGCTTCACTATTACGGATACAGTATCTTCACTACTAAGACCTTGATCGTCTGTTACTTTTAACCTAAATAAGTATCTACCTGGAATGATATCTGTCAGCTAAAATCGGAAAAGTTGAAATAGTAATAAGGTACTTGTTACATACTACTAAAATGTTCTGTTTACAAGCTTATTACCATTAAAATCGGTGATTTATCTGTATCCCGAACTATGGTACCTATCACAAGACTAGACGAATCTCTTGTCCATAGCCATTCACTAATTTTTAAGTCGTCGGTTGATTGAGATCCATTAATAATCAGTACACTGACAGGCGCTATCACGACTTGATCACCTCCTGCGTTTGCTTTAGGTGGAGCATTTTTATCTATAAAATAAAATTAATTGTATTACCTTTGAACGATTATTATCATGTTAACAAATGCACTATACATACTTTGTGTAACTTTTACTTTAACAGTATCGGAATCTTTATTCCCATTGCCATCGATCACTGTCAGCTTGAATTCATAGTCACCCTTTGTTAATTTTGTAACATTAGTAATCGATTCATTGACCGCAGAGAATTCGGCACTGCTGGGTCCGCTGTTAAAAGTTTCTTATTTTATTTATTATTACGGGACAAACATTAATCGTCAAGGGATTAAATTTATAATATTTAAATCTAAACGAACCTGACTTGTTTCCAATGGAAATATACGATCTTAATATCATCTTTACTTTTGCGACCATCGAGTATAGTTCTTGTTTCTGGTAGCGCTATGGTTATATCTTCACCTGCATCGGCTGTTGGAGGTTTATTCGTTGGTGGTTTTACGAAGACATGAACTTCAGCTGTAGACGACTGCTCGGAATCATCCGTTACTTTTAAGACAAATGTATACATTCCCTCCTCTAAATTAGACAGTTGTAAATACGGCGTTCTTGTGTTTTGCATATCCACAGCTTTGTTTTGATCAGAGGGACTTTTTGTCCATTCCCAACTTGCTATTCCATGATCGTCAGTGCTCAAATTACCATTCAGTGTTAACGTATTCTGAGGTAAATATATAATAATATCTTGGCCCGCGTTTGCGTTTGGAGGATAATCGGTTACTTTCAAAACCGTTATATTTGCACTTGTCGAATTTGTGATGTGATCTGAATCTTCAATGGTCAACTTAAAAGTATAATTGCCAGGAATAAGATTGTCTAATTGTAATGTGGGTGTATCGACTAGATTAGGTTGATATCCAATGGGTCCTTGTTGCAATTCCCAGTGATAAGAAATGACTCGATCATCATCTTTACTAGATGAACCATCTAACACAGCTCCTGTGTTTGGTAGTTTCACGACTTGCGAGGCAGGGGAAATTACAGCAATTGGTGCTTGATTTATTCTCTTTGCTACAAGTAGTATTCGTTAATCGTCGGATCATTGCAAGCAAAATAAATAACTCTAAATATGAACGTGAAACTTACGTGGCAAAACGCTGACATTTGCATATGCTTCGCCATAAGCATTCGGACTATTCACAGTTACTTTAAACGTATATAAACCTTCAGAAAGGTTACTTAATTTAACGGTCATACGATTCTGATCGGTCATTATTCCGGTGTGACTTTCCGGTTGACTTAGAAGACTCCAAGCATAATTGTAATGTTCATTTTCTTGCTCTGCAGGTACAGTATAGGCTGACAATGTTACTTCATTCTCTGGTAAGCGTACTTCCTTTGAGACAGCGGAAACTAACAGCCGTTTCATAGGTGGTTTTATCGACGTACTGGAATCTTTCAAAATCTGTACTCTCACTTGCGGCGTTACGCCAAGTTCTATGTCTTCCACCGAAGTACAAATTCCTATTATAACGAATATAAATAAAAAAATGAAAGTTCAACAACCAGAATAAGACGAAATACAAACTAATTTTTCAGTAATAATACCAAACATACCGCCGATATTCCGTTTAAATCCAACAGAGCATTGACAAATTCCAACATCGGATTTGTCTTGATTTTTAACGCATATTTCATTTTCTAGACAATTTGTGTGGGTGATACAGCTCAACCCATTTGTACCACCAAAAAGAATATCATCTCTTTCTTTAGCATCCATAAGCAATGTACTGAAAACACCAATTTCATAAGATGACAATAAATATAATAAGAAACAAATAAGAACAATCTACTCTGGTGACACAAATGGTATGTTCTATTCGACCTTGTAATCTATAATCAAGACCATTTGTTTTACCACAATACATAATTCTGCAAAATAATTTTAAACTACTCTAAATTTTACCCAGTATCATCGTTTATTTGAGCTAGCAACTCATTCCACACCTCATAGTCTTCTACAGGTTTAACTAAAACCATGCTTGGTGGACTTTCATTTGCTAAATCTGCTCTGTACAAAGGTAGGCATTTTTTGGAGTTCTCACATTGTACATGATAACAAGTACCATTATGCATAAGCGCCACATTGCACACAGAATTAGTACAGCACGCGGCAACACAATGTTGCATGCTTTTTACACGAGGTTGACTAGCGTATACCCCACTAGAAAGATTTCCACGAGGTGTATAACTTGTAAAAACTCTGGGGTACAACTCGGGACAAAGCATTTGCCATTTTGTGTCCCAGTCCGAGTAATCGCCGACGCAATTTCCAAAGAACAATAAATATAATCCCAGGTAAAAGATTTCAAACATCTTCTCTGAAAAATAGTCTGAATGTCAAAAGCAATTTTTAATGATAGAATTACACACTTTAGTATTTATTTCGTAGAGAATTCCTACCTTATTATACGCACACTCCGAGGTAAATAAGAAACCGTCAAGATTATCGCAGCGAATATTTCAGGTTATTTTACGAACCATCTGTGACCTTATGGATTGTTTCGCTATCAAACGTCAACCGCAAACTGTTGGAAGATCGTCTCGCTGGTATTAACTTTAAGTGGTGTGCAGACATACACGGCACGGGCTTATCATATATTAACAGCATGTTATTATCAACGCGAATAAGCTAATCAACTATAGGGGTAATTATCATATTTCCTGTTAGACCGGAATAATGAAAGGACGACTAAAGAACGATAAAGTATCGAGCGTTAATGGTACAATGTCTTGATACAATTTATATTGCCGTTAATTGATTTCAAAGCAATCGGCAAACTCACAGAAACAAATTGTTCGTCGGAGAACGTCATAAACTGCTATCGTTTGACAACTAGCACGCCTGTATCACCTGTGCTCTGTGGTCGACAAAAATATTCGCAGATGTCGACACCAGTGTGAATGATTGATAGTATTTACTAGATAGTATTGAAATTCTACGTCGTTGTATCGCTTTCATTAGATATGTGTGATACATCCCCAGATATACTTTACCGCATCTTTAATTAAGAAACGGTAGGTTCATTATGTTATATTGATTATGTAAATCATACAGCTTGTGGATCTTCCTGTTCGGCTTTGTTGAATAATTGAATATAACCCGAACTACTTTCCGATCTTTACAGAAGAAAGCAAATTTCGAAGAACCTTTGACGGTCATAGTAAATGACGTAAACACATATTGTCCAAGCTAAGAAGGAAGCATTGCACTTGTGCATTGCAAACTTATACATCATTTCTATTACTATATTACACCTGAAAAGGGTTTCATAGACAGAACCACTGTTCTGCACAAGACTACCGTTCGACATCATCAAGAAATGTAAACCTGCTTTTTGCGTTATCATTCTCAGATATCAAGAGAAAAAAAGCACGTTCTCAGAGTGGAGTATCACCCCAAAGTACTCCTAAATTTCCCGCACGAACACGTAGAACGTTCTGCGCAATGCCGACGGTGCTGCCACTGACGAGTTATTCGGGAAATTCTTTACTGCCGTGCATTCAAACACCGGAAAGAGGTATGAGCGAGTCCGTCGGATTCGTCGTGGGTGGGCTGCGAGCGAACGTAAGTTGTGTGTGGTCCGAACCGAGCGTTTGGTACGCTGGATGAGGCTGTCGCGAGCGTAGAAGATGCAAGACGCTTTGTTCGAACGGTGCGGAGAGATTTCTCCGTGGCAGAATATAATCGGGGTCTGGTCCTGAACAAAGCGTCCAAGGTACTATTTTTAATCACAAAATACTTTCATTGTTTATCTCTGCGCCGTACACGTGACGTTGTGTTTTTAATTGAGCCGATAGCGTGCCGGGAAATCGCGCAGTGTTTGGAAACAGTGTAATGAATTGTTACCATAATGTAATGCTACTTCAGTATTTTAATAATATTAACAATAACAAACGAGTGTTTATTCAGTGTCAATCGTACCGTTTTCGAAAGTGTATGTCTGTTAAATTATAGAATTTGTATCGAAGAGAACCGCGATTAGATTGAAAGCATTGTAATCATTGTCGAATATTTATAAACGAATTGTTTGCAGATGATGCTCCTGTTGATTTATTTTTTAATTATTTACCGAGCGTCGTCGGAATTGACGCCCGGTTTCGCTGGAAATTCAAACGGCGAAAATGAAACAAGGAAAAGCTTGGAATTGAGTCCCATTCACAGGATGAAGGATTCCAATTATCTGCTGGATAGGTACCCTATAGGAGAATTGCCATCCGATTCTTTAAATTGTCATAGACCAGCAAAATGCGTGGAGATGCAAAAGACTACATGTATGGGTACAAGATTGCCTTATACTACCACTACTTTGGATCTTATACCTGAACATATAACTCAAGATGAAGTAGAGGTATGTTAACATTATAAATTAATACTTTGTACACTTGCAAATAGATTTCTTATACTCTGTATCCAAGTAAACCTGAGAAAGTGAAAAGGTGCTTTTCTCTTTTGTGTCCATGTACCTGGTTCCTCAGGTATAGAGAGACCCTACTTTAAAGTCACCTCAGGTATTTCCTGTCTTGACTATTGTTCCAAAACAATTTCTATATCTACAGTGTTCATATTTATTTTCTTCGCATACATTTTTTGTGGTATTTCCTAAATCAAATTAGAATTTTAAATAATAATTTGTTTATGTAATTATTGTGCTTGTTTTGTTTTACAGGAGAGATTGCACATATTACAAGCATTGAAACATATGCCAAAGTGTTGGGCAATCGTGCAACCCCTATTGTGCTCTATATTTATGCCCAAATGTATCAACAATACGGTTGATTTACCATCCCAAGAAATGTGCAAAATGGTTTCAGGACCTTGTAGAATTGTGTTTAATCACACAATATGGCCAAGCTTTGTTAAATGTGAAAATACAAAATTATTTCCTAAATTATGTAAAAATGATATTCGAGAATTAAAATTTAATATTTCGGGTAAATGTCTGAAACCTTTGGTTCCAACTGATAACACTCTCGCAATTTTTGAGGGCGTTGAAGGTTGTGGTACACAATGCAACGATCCACTTTTTACGCCGGACGAGCATAAACAAATTCATTCTTTTATCGCTTGGGCTGCAGGGATCTGTGGCTCGTTTAACTTGTTTACGGTCGTAAGTATCGCGTAAATAAACGTGTATAATTTTTAAGATTTACTTTCATATGTTATTTACATTACAGATAACGTTTTTAATTGATTGGAGAAGCGCAAATAAATATCCAGCTTTAGTTATTTTCTACATAAATTGTTGTTTTATGGTATCTTGCATCGGATGGCTTGCTCAATTTACACCAGGCAGTAGAGAAGTGATTGTATGTCGTAAAGATGGAACATTGAGGATGAGTGAACCAAGGTATTAATAATTTGTTAATCTATGTAGTAAGTTTTCTATAATCATATAATATGTATTTGTAAATGAAACCTGTGTATCAATGTATTTTTAGCGGAGAAAACTTATCGTGCGTCGTGGTGTTTGTCCTTGTGTATTATTCTCTTATGGCAGCAATGGTGTGGTTTGTGATACTTACGTATGCTTGGCATATGAGTTTTCAAGCATTAGGAAAAATTCAAGATAGGATTGACAAAAAGGGTGCTTACTTTCACTTGATAGCTTGGTGTTTTCCACTTGTCCTTACCGTCACTATAATGGCATTGGGTGAAATAGATGGAAACAGTGTGACGGGCATATGTTTTGTGGGTTACGCTAATCACGGAGTCAGAGCTTGGTTCCTGCTCGGTCCTGTGATGATTGTTTTACTGGTTGGTGGATACTTCTTATCCCGAGGTATGTTTCGAATTTATATTTGTCTGTTTAAGCTTTCCACTTTATATGTATAACGAAAGTAATAAAATGTATTTTTTGTATGCTATCCTAAAAACTGTAAGTACTTCCTCTTTTTAGCAACAATTGATAATGTCTCGAATTCTACTAATCGAATGTTAGCTAATACTTTTATTAATATTTTCAGGATTGATTACTCTGATTCGATTAAAAATAACCAGTCAAGAAATTATATCTGAAAGGGCAAGTTCCAAAATAAGAGAAACTATTGTTCGCATGGGTCTATTCTCAATTTTCACTTTTACCGCGGCCGTGGTAACATTTTATTGCCACATTTATGAATTTCAACATTCGTGGGAATGGCGTCAAAGTTTTAGAAATTACATGATGTAAGAACCATACCGATACTTTCGAATAACGTTTTCTCAGACTGTATTTCATTTAACAATTGTAATGGATAATCATGTGTCGCCTTTTATTTGTAGATGTGCGATAACGACACACTATTTAGATATTTCCGAGTGCAAAATGGAGGTTCGGCCGAGTGCCGCTAAAATGCAATTGCATTTACTTTCACCATTTTTTGCTGGTATCCTCATGTCTTCGTGGGTTTGGACTGGTTCAACTGTAGACACCTGGACGAGATTTCTCAGACGGACTTTCAATTGCGAGACGGAAGAACCGATCAGATTAAAGAAACACAAGGTTATCGCCCAAGCATTCGCGAAACGAAAAACGTTTAACAACGCCGGTCGATTGTCCATCAGTTTCCATAACACTCATGAGGATCCAGTCGGTTTAAACTTTGATTTAAATTCTGTGGCCTCGCAGGATTTTAGTTCAACGTGGGCTGCCGCTTTACCCAAGTTAGTTACACGCAGATGCGCGCTTGTAGGCGCAACAACAGGTTCTGTATCCAGTAACAGAAGAAACTCCGTGGACTCCGAGATTAGTTTCAGCGTGCGTCGGGTGTCCGTGGAATCCAGGAGAAACTCGTTGGATTCGCAGATATCTGTTCAAATAGCCGAGCTGAAAACGACGCGGAAAGTCGCGAGCACCTCCCGTGGTCGACGTGGAAAACGGCGACGAGACTTTGGAAAATCGAGGTCTGGCAAAGTGGGACCATTGTTCAGAAGAGGTAGCACAACGTCTCAAGAAAGTCAATTAGGTGCTCAAATATTATCAGCGTTGACCATAGGTGGCGGCGACGCTAGAGTACCGACAATTCAAGTTCCTAACATGAAGAGACGATCGGCGACCGCTGGTTTGGACGACCGAACCTTGAATCCAAAACTGTTCGATGGAAAAAACGCTGGCATGCTTCTGCCATTTCTATTCCCAGCGCAGAGTGGTAGCGACGAGAATTTAAGCAGCGAGGAGAAACACGAGCAAGAGTTGGCAGGAAAGGATGTGGACATCGAGGGTGGCAACATCGAAAAGGACGACCAAGACACCGAGACTGACGAAAGCGAACCTGAAGAAAAAACGAAGATGTTGGAACCCGATGAACCGCCCGAGCGCAGCAAGAGCAAAACTAGTAACAAAAGCTCCAAGAGTTACAGTCACGAGAGCGTCAGAAGGAGCAGAGAGGGGCGCAAAAGTAAATATTTCCTCCAGGATGAAGCTATCTTGAAACACCTGTTTCAAGAATCCAATGATCTCAAACTGAAAAACGACTCTGACATCAAAGAGGCGTACAAAAAAGCCGGAATGGGAAATCTGGCGTCTAGTCTTAACTCGTGTTGCGCTGAACTGACACGACTCAAGCAACTGGACACGCAGGCCGCCAATGCCCGAGAAATGGCGACGCAAACCTCGCTTCCGTTGGACATTTTGGAAATGGAGGAGTTGAAGCAAAGCATAGACGAGATCATCAACAGTCGACATTGTAGCTCTAAAGGAACACAGATTTCACCACAGCTAAACAAAAGCAAAAATATCGCTACGTAACGCTAACTATCTTCTTGGAATTGCGTTAAGGAAGTGATTGCAAACAAAGTGAATTTTACGAACGGATCTTTATTTTCGATAGTA